TAAACTTGATCAGCCTGTAGCTATTTAAATTCATCTGATCACTCATTACAGAGATATTTCAATAGACTATTTTAGACAATAGACACAATTGGACGGAGGAGCTAGAGCTGGGCTAGTGCCAAGGGTAGGCTTTGATCTCATGGTACCCCCACTAAGGGTCCAGGTGCAACGTGTCTAAACCCATAAAGCCCGGACAATATATAGATATGACGGGCATATTTTGTCGATTTGAAAGTCACATACAGTAATCCGTCAAGTCTATCAACTATTTTTAGTAACTTCATTGATTTGGAAACCAAAGCTTGCATTTAAGCCTTAGGAGATTAAAATGTTTCTAAATGTAATGATGATTAATATAACGAAATCACGTATCTATTAATCTTATAAACTTATATTACGGAGGTCTGAAGCCACTCCCGATATTACCCCATATTAAATTTGTATAACTGAATTGTAATTTTAAATAATGTTTTTTAAATTTTTATTTGTAAATGCCCTTGGCTGCTATGAATTTTTTTTGTATGATTTTGAATAACATTTGGATAAAGATGCCAATATATACAGGCCTCTATTATATAGGCCTTAAACCGTTGATATATATCGTATATACTTGCGTATAAGAAGAGGGTTAAAATACGGTAGCGAATTACGAAAAAAAAAAACAAAAAAAAAAACAAAAAAAACAGGGGGTCGTCTTATTCGCCCGACATACAAATATTAGATTTTTGAAATCTTGTTCGTTTTAAGTGAGGATAATTCTTAACATGCGACTGTACTACTGCAATGAACCTACTAAATGTTAGTATGAACGCCATTTTAAATACTGGGAAATAAGGTTTTGATTAATAATATTTAAAAGCCCATAAAATGGTATTATTTTGGAGATTACATTTGTCTTCATTTTTAGCCTGTTAGATGCAGTATCAAGACCATAAAGAACAGCAAAAAGTCTGAATTCCGACGGTGCAACCATGGAAACAGTGATTCACTGTTCCCTGGTGCAACGGAGGGGTCGTCTTATACGCCCGACATAAAAATATCGCCTAAAAACCTTTTAAAATAGCCTATAAACGAGCATATACGGCAGTTTTGTGATGTCTGAAAATATTTCAAAAAAATTTGGGGTGGCAGTATCGATTAATCTTGTAGATTTAATCAATGTAGAGGTACTGTCCTTTTTGATCATTTACTAGTTTATTCTTTTGTTATTGCGTTTTCTCCTGTATATTTATATTTAAATTAAATATTCAATTAACTGAAATTAATAAATATTTCAATAGAGCGAAAGGGAAGCATATTATTTAATAATCATTTTAATATTTCGTCACACCATAGATTGAGTAATACAGACTTGCATACCCATCAAGGATTGAACAAGTGTCAATAAAGTCCAAGCCAAGTCATGTATCCTTGATCCCATACTGGTTTGGTTTATTAAGACGAATCCTTCGACATATTTTGTTTCCACGATTACCAAGATAGTTAATGCTTCCCTTAATTCGGATGTTTTTCCAGACTCTCTAAAGCATGTCATCATTTCTCCTATCATAAAGAAGCATTCTTTGGATCCAAAACATCCAAGCTATCTAATTATCGTCCAATATCCAACCTATCATTTCTTTCTAAGATCATTCAGAAGTTTGCAATGATTAACGTCAGTAACTATTGTCACGCGAGGCCCTATATGAGCCCTTACAGTCAGTACAGACCGTATAATCATGGAGAAAAAATATTTTATTTTCTCCATGGTATAATAGTACTGAGACGGCACTGCTAGCTGAAGGTCAAGAATGATATCATGCAACACATCGCCAAACGAGAAGGTGTATTCTTGGTTATGGTAGATCTCAGTGCTGCTTTCAATACAGTTAATCGTTCCACATTAATAAATCGTCTGCACAATAATGTTGGTACCCAGGGAATGGCTCTTAAACGGTTTCAATCATACCTTTCTGATAGGTCATCAGGTGTTCATCAATAATTGTCAGTCTGAAATAGTTAACGCCGCTTGCACGGTGTTACCCAATGCTCGGTTGTGAGGCCATACAAATCGGGCAGATTGAGGCATGGTATTCAATATCATATGTATGCAGATGACATTCAGTTTATGTATATCTTTCAGGCTTAAGATGTTAACTTCATTTCCTGTGGCTTGCACAAATTCACCAGTTGTATTAGAGTGATTAAGCAGTGGATGACTATTAACATGCTCAAGCTAACGAGCAGAAAACGGAGTTCCTTGTAGCAGTTGCAAATCATCAAACGCAGCATGCCCACTTTTACCTTTTTGGGTTTGTGGCAAGGTCATTGAGCTAACGGATAAAGTTCACAATCTTTGTGTTGTCTTCGACTCTTCAGTGACGATGTCACCTCATGTCACTAAGCTTTGCAGTACCTTGAAATCTCACATTAATAACATTTCACTTATTCGCAGATACTGAATTGCGACACATGGTTGTTAGAGCTCTTGTATTATCAGGACTAGATTACTACAACTCTCCTTTACTTGGATCCAAGAGGTCTGACTTTGACCATCTACAGCATGTTCAGAAATGGGCTACCAAATTGATCTATGGTGGTGAGAAGTTTGATCATGCTACATCATACTTGCGTCAACTGCAGTGGTTGCCTGTAGGAGAGAGGGTTCATTTCAAAGTTCTAGTGTAGGCTTACAAGTATATCCAAGGCTTGGTTCCTGACTACTATGTGACGCAGTTTCCCAATACAGGGCTCAAAGCGGGCTCTGACAACACTCATTACCCACCAGTCAACTCACTCACAACTTCACATCGGCAGACAATTTTTTAGGTGATACCACATTACTGAAACAAATTACCACGCAATATTCGCATTTCAGCTTCCGTTACAATATTTAAGAAAATGTTGAAAACTTTATTGTTTCCTTGTGATTAGGAATTGACAAGGGCTAGATGCCAACATCACCCGAGCAGCTGTGAATACTGTTTTGGTTGGCCTTGTGCCTTAATTGCTGGGTTACGGTGCGGTGGTGTTTGGGTTCATATGCGTTGTTATTTTTTCTTCTGCTACATGTATTTCATCGCCACAGTATATTAATAAAGCAATAGAAACAAGAAGCAAAAAGCGCTCTGATCTTCATGAAATATCGCTATATTATATAAATGATGTAATGTATGTATGTATACGATAGCCTACGGGCAGATTTAATCCCCAGGCAATTTCACTCATAAAACTGACTGAAACGCTCACACATAGTGGTGCTTGGTTAAGCTAGAAAAGCGTGTAGGTCGCAGCTGGGAATTTATAGTAAATAATACTTAAAGTTTGCTGCGTAGCACCGTGAACAAAATGTAAACAAATAGAAAAATAATAATAATAAAGTGCTTGAATAGGAACATGTTGTAATAATCGTATCAAGAATAGCTCATCAACGAAAAGTATCTTTAATTT